AAAAAAAAAAAAAAGCCAAAAAGGCACAAGTCGTCTCTGCGAGAGAGCAAGAACACTCTCCTCTTATGTAGTACCTTGTTCACATAGGTATTTTGCAGCTGTAATATGGATGGAGAAGGACTGTGTTGCATGTTAATTACACCGAGTCTTGATGCATGACTGTGAGAGTGCTACTGTTTCTGAACATTATGGGAAATACGAAAACCAGAAGCAGATCTTCAAGAGTAATTTCTCCTTCATCATCTTTTCTGTATTTTTTTCCTTATGAAGAGAGTTCTGTAATAATATCTTAATTTTCTGCAGTCTGCTCAATGCCACGCCAAATACTTATTAAACAACATGAAGTTACGTGTGCAAGGGACCTCTTTAATAACAAGCAGAAGCTGATCACATTAGAATTGGCTGACTTTAGCACACTTTGCCTATTAGAGCAAGAGTTTATAGATTCGCTGTACTGTAAAAAGTGGATGTTTCTTTCATAATTTAAAATAGAAATGAGCAGTTATAGAGCATTTCAGGATAGCTGAGTGCAAGGTGGTAGAGAATTAGAAGTAGTATTAGTGGTTTTACAGTAAAATAGGTTAAAACTTTTATAATAAAGATAAGGCACTGTAAAATCCAGTGAGTCCAGAAGCTTTCTGTGTTCTTTTGCTTTCATTACTCGGCACTGAAATATAAAGTCGTGATACTTCCTGTTGCTCACACGTTTTTAAGAGTCAAATATCTGATGACGAAAAAACAATAAAACCTACTTGCTGGATCTCCCTCGGGTGAGTGTTCTGTGTCAGTCTGTGTTTGTTGCTGTTCACTGCAGCGAAGCTTCCAGTCCACGAGTATGATGTTAGTGCAGTGATATCTAACGACTAGTTCTCAGCTCAGCAGGAGGGCGCTCCGCGGCTGTTAGATACGGGAGGAAAGAGCTGTGCTAGGAGTTAAGGAGCTCTAACGACCTTCTCTAAAGTGCCTCGGAGGTCACCTGTCACAGCCATTGCCGAGGAAATACCCCAAGAGCAGTATTGCAGGAACAAAACGGAGCATTTTGGAGTGGATTTTATGCAGGGAAAATCAGAACACCCTGGGGGAAGGCTGTGCTCAGGAGCCACAGCAGGAAGCAGAGGCTTTGTCTGAGCTAGGCGAGTTCTCTCCTGAGACCCAGGATGCAAGAGATGCCGCTCTGAAGCCCCTTTCACAACTGCTCCCAGCCTCAGGAGTCGTAAATCGGCATAACGGTCTCGATCCATGCCAGAAATCCTCCCCAGAATCACTATCAGGAACGATGTAGCCATGGTTCATGGACCAGCTCTCTTTGGATGCTGGGCAGCTATAACAATACACAGTTTTTTAGTTAAATGGCCTTCAGGGACGACTCAGGATCTAGTGCTGGCTACCCAGGTGACTGCCCTCGTCTCTGATGATTTCAAGAGGAAGGAAAGCACCTGTCTGATACAGCCTCCCAGCCGCTTCCCTTCCATCACCTCTGATATCGCCAGCGTTTCCATTCCACCATCCAAGGATCACGGACATCTGCAATATTTCCGGCTGTTGACACTACTGCGGATGGCAGAAATCTGCTTCTAAACTCAGAAGTTTAGATTCGCAAAAGCTATTGTGTGAGTAAAAAAAGGAAAAAACAGAAGAGGAAAAGGTCGGGGGCTATTTGGGGAGGGGATCTATTTCATCCCGATGAAATTCATTGAATAGCCTAAGTGATGCTCTTGGAGTTAAAAGTTATAATATTAATCAGTCAGTGTCCAGACTTTTAAGAGATGTGTGTAGGCAGTTAAATCTGTACGCTCTGAACTTTGAAGAGAGGAATCGAGCGGTCTGTTTTGTCGGCTTTGCACTGGGAAAATATCCCCGTCCTTTGGCACGTCGGCCGCGTGGTGCCGCTGCTGACCGCGAAGGCGCGGAGGCGCCGCGCACCAGGCTCAGATCCCTGCCTGCCAGATCGACGGAGACGCATCCATAGCTCCTACTTAGCTCACAGGGGGAGGAGAGCGCTTCCGGAGGCGAAAATGGGGCTGAGAAAAAGTGAGGAACCACTCTCAGGGCGAACGGTGCCTGTGATCCTGCTCCTCTGTGTGTCGGGGGTGAGTGCAGAAACCATCCGGTACTCTGTGCCTGAAGAGGCGGAGAGAGACTTCTTTGTGGCGAATATAGCAAAGGATTTGGGACTCACGGCTGAGGAATTATCGGCTCGACGAGCCCGGCTCGTACCTGAAGGAGAACAGCAATATTTACAACTGAACCAGCACACTGGAGATTTGTTTGTGCAAGAAAAGATGGATCGAGAGGCGCTGTGCGGGCAGAGCGAGCCTTGCCTGGTGAGGTTCGAGGTGTTGCTAGAAAGCCCACTGCAGTCCTTCCGAGCCGAGGTAAGCGTCAGCGATATAAACGATCATGCTCCCATGTTCTTAAATAGGGAGATGATTTTAAAGATCCCGGAAAGTGCAATGCCGGGAGCTCGATTTTTGCTGGAAAGTGCTCAGGATCCAGATGTGGGGAATAACAGTCTCCAGCACTACCACATCAGTTCGAACGACTATTTCCGTATCTCCACCCTGCGGCGGAGTGACGGCAGGCGGTACGCCGGGCTGGTGCTGCGGGGAGGGAGGAGCGGGCAGAAGTCACCTTCAGCTTCACGGCTGTGGATGGCGGGTCTCCACCGCGTTCTGGTACATCCTTGATCCGCGTGCAAGTTTTGGATATAAACGACAACATCCCGGTATTCACCAGGAGTCTATATAAAGTCCGAGTGCCTGAAAATAGCGCTGAGGACACCTTAGTGGTGGGGGTGTCTGCTAGCGATTTAGACGCAGGAAAGAACGGGGAAATAGCGTACTCCATCGTTCCAAATTCAGAGGAGAATCACCAGACTTTTAAAATAAATCCAGAGACAGGGCAGATTCGACTCAAAAACCCAGTGGACTACGAAGAAACAAAGACCTACGAGATAGATGTCCAGGCCACGGATGGAGGCGGCCTGTCCGCGCACTGCAAAGTTCTGGTGGAGGTCGTTGACGTGAACGACAATGCCCCCGAGGTGACCATCACCTCCCTCACCAGCCCCCTCTCGGAAGCAGCCCCACCGCAGACCGTGGTGGCCCTGTACAGCGTGCGGGACCGGGACTCGGGGGACAACGGCAGGACGAGCTGCGAGCTGCTGGGCGACCTACCTTTCAGCATCGTGGCGCTGGCGCTGGCAGAGGCGGAGCGGGCGGGAAGACGCTTCTCGTCTGCCCCGCGGTTCTCACCGTGCTAGAGGAGAGTTTGCGAGCAGCCAGCGCAGGCGGGGTCCGCGGCTCTCTGCGGAGAGAAAGCAGAGCACGGGGGAGATTGGCGGAGAGCAGCAGCGGCCGAAGCGGCCGCGCTGGGGTCGCTGCCGCGAGCTGGGGTGCCGGCGGGTGCCGGCGTGTGCCGGACGGGCAGGGAAGGAAGGGACCATCTTCACCCACGCCTCCTACACAATGGTGCTGCGCGAGAACGAGCCCGCGGGGACGAGCCTGGGCCTCGTGAGCGCGATGGACGCGGATGTGGGGAAGAACGCCCGCGTGAGCTACGCACTGGTGCCGCCCGAGCCTGGCGCCGCAACTGTGGCCTCCTTCGTGTCGGGGGCGGC